TGGGGGGGGGGGAGAGGGGAACCTTGGGACCTCCTCTGAGGTGAGGGGGCACCCCTGGGGTATGGGGGGGGGCATCTGGGGTCTCCTCTGACTTAGGGACCCCTCCAGGGACAAAGGGGCTACTTGGGGACCCCTCCCCAATCGGGGGACACCCCCAGCTATAAAGAGGGGACACCTCTGCTCCCCTCCCCAGTGCAAAAGCCCCATAGTCCCTAAGTAACCTCCCCTGACTTTGTTTGCCATGAGTGGGTTCCGGGGTCCCCCCACACTGCCCCAAAGGACTTAAATTTGGGGTTAAAAAAAGCAAAAACCCAACTTTTTATTTAAATAAACCCTAAAGGAGGAGAGAGGACACACAGTGGNAAATAACTGTAATAAACCCTAAATCCCAACAAAACACCCCAAAAATGAAGCTGGGGGAGTGTGAGGGGGCTGGGAGCCCTTGCAGGTGGGGGGCCCTGGGGTTCCCCCTCCCTCCAACAGAATCCCCCAACCTCCCCCAGCACCCCAACCCCTGCCAGAGCCCCCAAACTGCCCCCCCCCAGGGCCCCACAAATTTGGGGGAATGGGCTCAGCAGAGCCAAAGTCCTTCTTGAAGTGTCATTGGGGGAGGTCCCCAAAATATGGGCCCCTCCCGAAACTCCTGCATGCCCAGAAAGGGGGTTCAGGGCACAAAATTGGGGGGGGGCAAACTCATCTCTCTTGCCCCTTGGAACAGTCTGTGATGGGGGGACAGGGACCCCCCAAAATGGGGGGAAGAGCAGGGGCCCGCTTCGTGGTCTTTGGGAGCTGCTCCTGCCCCCTCCACCTCACCCCTGATCCGGGGGGCCCCTCGCCCCCCTTTTCTCACCCCCACTAGGGGGCAGACCTCCCAGCATGGGGGGACATAGGCAGCACCCCAAAACTATGCGGAAGTAGGAGAAATCCCCCAAAATCTGAAGGAGTTCCAGAGGAAATGGGAAGTGCTGCTGAGTGTCCCACAGGATGCGCCGCTCAAGGGGAGCCCCCAAATTCCTTTTTTTCCCTATTTTCCAAAAATAACCAAAAAACAGGGGGTACACCCCCCTCCCCCCCAGGCTGAGGCATCCCCCAGCATCTTCAGTTTTCTTCCTTTTCCCAAAGAAGAGAGGGATTGATGCTGCTGTTCCCAGCGGGACCCTCCTACCTGTGCACAGGTATCCCGGATCCGCCGGGATTTCAGGCAGTTTGGGGGTTCCCAGTCTTTCCTAAGAGGGGGAGGGGTGGATTCAGGGGTATAACGATGGTGGGGGGGGCCACTTGAAGATTCCAGGAGGATTTTTGGGATCATAATCCAAGTTTTTAGGCCAGAGGGCAGGAACGATCCGAGTTTTTTCATGCTGGCAGCGCTCGGGTTCTTCCCCATCCTTAGAGGGGTGAGAAATCCAGGTGAGGCAGAGCATGGTGATGTGGGGGGGTGCAGGAAGAAACACCCCCCTCCCGCACCCCCTGAACTTCCCGGTATTCCCAGATTTTCACAGCAGGAGCTGGGAGTCGGGCGGGGTCTTGGTCTGGCAGCCTTGGCACATGCGCTTGTGTCGGAGCAGCCGGTCCGTGCGGGAGAAGCTCTGCGGGGACAAGGCACTGGGGGTCACTTCTGGGGGTGGCGCTGTGAATGGCGGGGTGCCCCGCCCATTCCCGCGGGAATTCTCCCGGGAATACCTGCATGCAGCGCTCGCACTGGTAGGGCTTCTCCCCGCTGTGCACGCGCTTGTGCCGCTCCAGGTGGTACTTCTGGATGAAGCGCATGTCGCACATGTCGCACTCGAACGGCTTCTCCCCTGGAATTCCGGCCGGCAATTAGCGAGGGAGGGGGCGGGGGGCTGTTCATTAACGAGGGCTCATTAGCGGTGCAGGGAGGGGGCGGGGGCCGCTCATTACCGGTGTGGATGAGGATGTGCCGTTTGAGGTGGTAGCTGCTCCGGAAGGCGCCGAAACAGTGGTCGCAGATGAAGTTCTTGAGCTGGAAGGAGCCGTTTTGCTCAATCACCACCATCTGAAATGGGGGGGATATGGGGGTTCAGAGCCGGGGGGACCCCCAGCAGCCCCCCCAAATCCCCCCCCCCGGCCGTCCTGCGCCTGCCGGAGTTTGGGAGATTGTCTTCCTCCTCCTCCTCCTCGTGCGGCGCGGCGGCAAACCTGGGATCCTCGGCGGGAGGAGCTCGGGGGTCCCTCGGCGCCGGGAACCCGCTTGCGGCGCTGCCGGGGGGGCGAGGGGGTGTCAGCGGCCCCCGAGATGGCCCCCGACCCCCCCCAGACCCCAAAATCGAGGGGGGACCCCCTGCTGGGGGAGGGGACCTGCCTTTTTCATGGATTTCTTGGGGTTGGAGGCCTCAGGAGCATCATCGTCCTTGCGGGCGCGGGGCTTGTCGGGGTCCTGGCGGAGGGACTGGGGGGGCAGGAATTGGGAAGGGGTTGGGAACAGGGCAGGAATTGGAATGGGGGGAGTGGGAAGGGGGGATTGTGGGACCAGGAATTGGTGGAGAGGGGTTTGGGAAGGGGTGAGTAGAGGGCAAGAATTGGGATGGGGGTATGGGTGGGGGGTTGGGAAGGGGGAAGGAATTGGGGGGCATTTGGGAAAGGGAGATTGAGGGACCAGGAATTGGGAGGGATTGGGAAGGGGGCAGGAATTGGGGAGGAGGGATTGGGAAAGCAGGAATTGGGGTGGGGGGATTAGGGAGGGTAAATCAGGGCAGGAAATTGGGGAGGGGGTTTCAGGATGAGCAGGGAATGGGGAGGTTGAGGGATAATGGAATTGAAGGGGAAACAATGGAATTAGAACAGGAAAATCCGAGGCAGGAAAAGACCAAATAAAAGAGGAAAAATCCAAATGAAGGAGGAAAAGTCCAATAAAAGAAAGCAAAGGGCGAGTGAAGAAAGGAAAATCAAGCAAGGGCCAGAAATGGGAAACGAAAGGATGAAAAATTCAATTAAAGCAGAAAAAGGTCAAAGGAGAAGTGGGAAAATGAAACTAAAGCAGGAAAACTAAAGCAGGAAAAAGCCAAATAAAGGCAGGAAAAAGCCAAATTACAAGTGGAAAAGGTCAAATAAAATACAGCAAAGGATGACTAAAGGGAGAAAACCTCAAATTCAAGGAGAAAAAATTCAAATTCAAGGAGGAAGAGGCAAATTAAAGGCGGAAAATGCCAAATTTGGGGCAGAATAGCCCAAATTAAAGCAGAAAAAAAAATTAGTTGCAAACACCAAAAAAAAAAAAGCTGGAAAAAACCAAATTAAATGTAGAAAAAGCAAATTAAAGGTGGAAACAGCCAAATTATGTGCAGCAATACCCAAATTAAGGTGGAAAACTCCAAATTAAAGCAGGAAAACCCCAAATTAAAAGTAAGGAAAGCCAAATGAAGTGCGGAAATTAAATTAAAATTAATCCAAATTAAAGGTGCAAACCCCCAGATTAAGTGCGGAAATACCCAAATTCAAGGTGGAAAACTCCAAATTAAAGCAGGAAAACCCCAAATTAAAAGTAGGAAAAGCCAAACGAAGTGCGGAAATACCCAAATTAAAGGTGCAAACCCCCAGATTAAGTGCGGAAATACCCAAATTAAAGGTGGAAAACTCCAAATTAAAGCAGGAAAACCCCAAATTAAAAGTAAGAAAAGCCAAATGAAGTGAGGAAATACCCAAATTAAAGGTGCAAACCCCCAGATTAAGTGCGGAAATACCCAAATTAAAGGTGGAAAACTCCAAATTAAAGCAGGAAAACCCCAAATCAAAGGTGGGAAAAGCCAAACTAAAGGCATAAACCCCCAAATTAAAGGGCGAAATCCCCCAGTTCAAGGCGGGATCCCCCAGTGGAAGGTGCCAGACCCCAGCCAGGGCGTCCCACTCCGTACCAGGAGGTCGGGGCTGGAGCCCCGTTCCCGGTTCCCGTCCTGTTTCCCGCCGGATTTGGGCATCATCTTCTTGCTGGCGACGGTGGGGACGAGGCAGACGCCCGAGAGCCCCTCGCAGGCCAGGAGACTCGCCTGGAACAGGGAGGGACCCCCAGGATCAGCCCCACAGCCCGGGGGCACCCTGGAGGGGGGCGGGGCAGCAGCCCCCTGCGTCTGGGCCCTGAGGGGGGCTCGGGATGATCCGGGGAAACTCTGGGGTTATCTGGAGGGAAAGTTGGGATAATCCTGGGGAAACTCTGGGGTGATCTCAAGGGAAGTTTGGGATCATCTCGAGGGAAATGTGGGATAATCTGGGGAAATTTTGGGGTGATCTTGAGGGAAGTTTGGGATAATCCTGGGGAAACTCTGGGGGGATCTCGAGGGAAGTTTGGGATAATCTGGGGAAATTTTGGGGATGATGTCAGGGGAAATTTGCTATGATCCCAGCATAAGTCTTTGGGGAAGACCCCAAAGTGGAACAGAGGGGGTTGAACCCTCTTCTTTCAGCCCAATGAGGATTTCAGGTCAAATGGGAAAATTCAAGGGAATTGTGCAGCAACTTTGGGATAATCCTGTGGAAAATTGGATAAACCCACGGCAAAATGGGAAGACCCCAAAACTGGGAATGGAGGAGGCTGAACTCCCTTTTCTGAGGCCTGTTGGGACTGAAGGGTGAATGGGAAATTAGGGGATAATCCCAGGAAAAAAATGGGAAATTATGGGGAAAATTTGGGATAATTCCTGCATAATTCTGTTAAGAGCCCCAAAGGAGGGTTTGGGGGGGCTGAACCCCAAATTTGAGGCCTGACAGAATGTAAAGGCTAGCAGGGAAATTTGGGGAATCCTAGAGAAAACTGGGATAATCACAAGGAAAATTCAGGATAAATGTGAGGAAATTTTGGGAGGGAAAGCTGGAATAGTCCTGGGGTAACCCTGGGAAGACCCCGGGGTGTGTTTGGGGTTGGAAAAACTTCTTCCAGCCCAGAGAGGATCTAATGGATAACAGGATATTTCAAGATAATCCTGGGGAAAATTTGGATTATCCCAGAGAAAACTGGGACAATTCCAGTGGAAACTAGGAGAATTCAGGAATAACTGTGGAAAAACCCCAAAAATGGGGAGGGGAAGGTGGGGGGGGGCAAAGACACCCCCAAACCATCTGCTGAACTACTGACCTGCCTTTACTGGGGCCCTAAATGCTACCGGGGAAATCTGGGAAATCCTGGGGTAAACTGGGATAATCAGGGGAAAAATTTTGGGAGAATACTGTGGAAAGTTTGGGAAGAGTCCACGTGTGGAGGGACAGCTTAAACCTCCTTTTTTGAGGCCTCAGGGCTAAAGGGAAAATTCAGGATATTTCTGGGGAAAATCAGGATAATCTTGAGGAAAACAGGGATAATCCTGTGACATCCCCTGGAGCAGGATGGGGGGATGGGGAGGCACCCCCCACCCTGGCGCAGGGGGAGGGAAGCTCCAGCTGTCTCCCCTCTTCCTTCCCTTTTCCCATTTTTTGGGGCCGTTGTTCCCCCAAATTCCTGGGCCTGGGGGTGTCAGGATGCAGGGGGTGGGGGCTCATTACCTGAGCCATGCTGTGGGAGCCTTTGGCCTTACTTCTCGCCCAGGTAAAGCTCGTTTGGGGTAAGAAAAGGTGGGATCAGTAAATTTTTATGGATTTTTGGGCGGGCTCCAGTACCCGCCACGGCGCCGCCATTCCTCCTCCTCCTCCTCCTCCTCCTCCTCCTCTTCCTCCTCCCGAGGGGGCCACTGGGGCAGGAAGGGGGGGGAGACAGGGCCGGGCTCCCCCCCAAAGCCGGGACCCCCCGAGCTGGGGGGGCGCTGGATCTGCGGGGACGGAGCTGAATCCAGGGGGATCGGCCTGGGGGGAACAGTGGGAAAAGGGGGTCAGAGGGGCCAGGCGCCCTCCCGCCCGACAGTCCTGCGGCGCCCCGCCCCGCTGCCCCCACTCGCGACACCCCTTGGGGACCCCCTATACAACCCCGCTTTGGGCTCCCCCCTCACTCTGACCCCTTCCTTTGGGGTGTCTCCCGTGACCCCTTTTGGGGGCTGGTTCGCCCCCTTCCTTTGCCCCTCTTTATTGCCCCCCCCCCCCCCCCCGGGGCAGGTACTGACCCTCCCCGAGCGTCTGGGAATTGAGGGGGATACTGGAAATGGGGCACTGGGACTGGGGGGTGTACTAGGAACGAAGGGCACTGTGAATGGGTGTGGAGACAAGGGGGACACCAAACACTGGTGGGGGGACATACTGGGAATGATGGGGGACACTAAGGACAGGTGGGAGTACACTGGGGACAGGGGGACAATGGGAATAAATTTAGGGACCCTGGGAATGGGTGGGGGCCACACTGGGAATGGGTTGTGGGGACACTGGCAATAGGAGGACATACAGGGTCACCACTCTTCCCACAGATCCAGGGACACAGTCCTAACCCTGCCCCCTGTCCCCAGAACCCTCCGGGGCTCCTTCCCCAGTCCTGGACTTTGCTCCTTGCCCCTTGGCAACGTGACCAGAGGAAAATTCCATCCTGGGGAGGGAAGAGAGAGGAGCCAGGAAAGCCTGATCCAGGAGAGTCTGATCCCAGGAAAAGCTTCTCCTGGGAGCACCTAATTCTGGGATCACCTGGTCCCAGGATCACCTAATCCCAGGAGAACCTGGTCCTGTCAGCACCTGATCCTGGAAAATTCCAGCAGGCAGAGGTGAGAGGAGAGGTGAGTCCAGAGAGCCCAATGCCCAGAGAAACCCATGCTGGGAACACCTAATTTTGTGATCATCTTCTTCCAGAACTACCTCATTCCAGAAGAACATCATTCTGGAATCACCTTATCCCAGGAGAATTTCATCCTGAGAGAGCCTTATTCCAGGAGCACCTCATCCCAGGGGGAAGCTCAGCCTTATCCCAGGAGATCCTTGTCCCAGGATCACTTTATCCCAGGGTTATCTCCTTCCAGGAGAAGCTCAGCCTGGGATCCCCGTCCTGCCACCTGCTGCCAATCCCAGGGTCCCTCCCAGCGCATTTCGGGGTGTCCCCGTGTTTCTCCTGCCATGGCTGAGCCCTCTGGGGCTGGGGACAGCATCCCATTGGATGGTCCCGGCCTGGACATGGCCGCTGGGGAGGAATTCCTGCAGGAAGTGTTCCAGATCCTGCTGGAGGAGGGCGTGCGGAAGAGCACGGATGTGACACAGAAGGTTGGGACACTGGAGCACTCGGGAGGGTGGGGGTCCCCAATCCCATCCCATCCCGTCCCATTCCCGTTTCCAGTCCCATTCTCAATCCCAATCCTGTCCCCACAGGTATGTGACTGGAAGGAGCCCCCTGGGAGGGGGTGGGGTCCTAGTCTGTCCCTATGGCCTGTCCTGTTCCCAGTCATTCCCTGTCCCAGTCCCAATCCCATTCTCATTCCCAGTCATTCCCAATCCTATTCCCAGTCATTCCCAGGCGTGTGACTGGAAGCAGACACGGAAGGGGGTGGGGGTCACAATATTGTTCCTTTCCCAGTCCTATTCCCATTCTGAAACCCAGTTCCAGCCCCATTCCCAATCCTGTTCCTAATACCAGTCCCACTTTAGCCCTGTTCCAACAGCTAGTCCCCCTTTCCCATTCCCATTTCCAGTCCCATTCCCAGTCCCATTCCCAGTCCTGTTCCCGTTTTCAATTCTGTTCCCATTCTGAGTCCCCAATTTTACACTTGGAACAGGATTGGGAGTGGGACTGGCGTTGGGAATGAGAGTAAATCCCAGTTGCAGTCTGATTGTTTCCAATTCTGTTCCCATTCTGAGTCCCCTTCCCAATTTTACACTTGGAACAGGATTGGGAGTGGGACTGGCGTTGGGAATGAGAGTAAATCCCAGTTGCAGTCTGATTCTCATTTCCAGACTCGTTTCCATTTCCAGTCCCATTTGCAATCCCACTTCCAGCCCCATTCTCATTCCCATTCCCCATTCTGTTTGCAGTTCCGGTGCCAGTCCCATTCCCATTCTGGTTCCTGGTCTCAGTCCCAGTCTTGTTTCCACTCCCAACATCATACCCAGCCCATTCCCTCTGCCGTTTCCAGTCCCAGTCCCTGCCAGTCATTCCCAGTCATTCCCAGGTGTGTGACTGGAAGGAGCCGCAGGAGCTGCGGGAGCTGCTGGATCTGGAGCTGCGGAGCGACGGGGAGGGGCGGGAGCGGCTCCTGCAGCGCTGCCGGGACGTGCTGCGCTTCAGCGTCCGCACTGGTGCGCTCCCAGTACACACCAGTGCGCACCAGTACACGGGAGTACCGCCCCAGGGCAGCCCAGTGCCTCCCAGTTTAGCCCTGCACAAGCTCCGCCTGGCACGGCACCTCCCGCTTCAGCCCAGCGGTTCCCAGTGCGGCCCCTGGTGCCTCCCAGTGTCAAACACTGTGGCCCCTGCCATGTTCCTCGCCATATCCCCCCGATCTTCTGTGTCTCCCTTGACTGCCCCCGTGCGCCCCCATTTCTCCCCTCATCCACTCCCTGACCCCCCAATGTACCCCGAACTCCCCCATGTCCCTCCGTGTCCCTTCTGTTCCCTCCCTACCCACGCCCGATCCTCCACGTCCCTCTTGTGTCCCCCCGATTCTCCCCTGCCCCCCCATTTTCCCATTTCCTCCCACCCCCATTCTGCCCTCCATTGTCCTCCTCCTGTCTCCCCAGTCTCCTTATGACCCCACAACAACCCCTCTGAACCTCCCAGATCCTTCCCTTATCTTCCCGTGTCCCACCCCCCATGTGCCATCCCCAACCCTCTCACGTTCCCCCACTTCCCCCTACCCCCTCCCCTATCTCTCTCTGTCCCCCCACCATGTCCTCCCCTGACCACCCTATGTGCCCCCCGTGTTCCCCCAGGTCACCCCCGGTTTTTCAACCAGCTTTTCTCGGGGCTGGACCACCACGCCCTGGCTGGCCGGTTCCTCACTGAGACCCTCAACACGAGCCCGTGAGCCCCTGACACCCCCAAAGGGGGGCTGGTGGGTGGGGGGACCCCCCAAAAACCTGCTATGACCCTCCCCTCCCCCAGATCCACCTATGAGGAGCCCCTGGTGCTGATGGAGTGGGAGGTGCTGGGGGGAGGGTTTTGGGGTGCTGAAGTTTGCAGGGAGGGTTTTGGGGGTGTTGAGGAGCCCAAATGAGAAAGGTCCCACCAAAACCCTGTCCTGACTCCCCTGATCTAGCCCCCAGTGTTGGTGCTAATGGAGTGGGAGGTGCTGGGGGGAGGATTTTAGGGTGCTGAAGTTTGGAGGGAGGGTTTTGGGGGTGTTGAGGAGCCCAAATGAGAAAGGACCTGCCAAAACCATCCTGACTCCCTTGATCTAGGCCCCAGTGTTGGTGGCTCCATCCTCCCTGATGAAGGGGGGGGTCTGGGGGGAGGGTTTTGGGGTGCTGAGGCTCTGGGGGAAGTTGTTTGGGATTCTGAGGTTTCAGGGGGAGGGGAACCCTCCGACTCCTGCTGGGCCCTTCCAGGTACACATACGAAGTGGCCCCAGTGCTGGTGCTGATGGAGGAGCAGGTCCTGGCCACGCTCCGGGAGCTCGTGGGGTGGAGCAGCGGCGATGGAATCTTCGCTCCCGGTATCCCGGACCCTTCCTGAGGGGTATCCCTGTCCCCCCTCTCCCCCTGGCAGCCTGTCCATGGTGCACTGAGGGTGAAACAGGGGTCCCTGTCCTGGGCAGGGGGATCTATATCCAACATGTTGGCCATGAACGTGGCGCGATTCCGGCGTTTCCCGGAGAGCCGGAGCAGAGGGAACTGGGACCTGCCTCGCCTGGGCCTGTTTGCATCTCAGGAGGTGGGAGTGGGGGCTCAAAGTCATCCCAAAACCCAATCCTCAGGGTCATTCCAATTCTAATCCATGGGGTCATTCCAAACCTTATTCCTGGGGTCACCCCAAAACATGATACCTGGGGTCATCCCAAATGTGGCCCCCTGAGGTCACACTGAACCTGATCCCCTTGGTTACTCCAAATCTGATCCCTGGGATCCCCACAGAACCTGATCCAGGGGTCACCTGGGGTCATCCCAAAACCTGATTCTGGTGTCACCCCAAAGCTGATCCTTGGAGGTTTCCCTAAACCTGATCCATGGGGTCATCTCAAAACCTGGTCACTGAGGTTACCCCAAAACCTGGCCCATGGGGTCACCCCAAGTCTGGTCCCTGAGATTACCCAAAAACTGGGGTTACCCTGAGTCTGGTCCCTGAGGTTACCCAAAATCTGGTTCCTGGGCTCCCCTCAATCCCGGTTATCTTTTCCTGCCCAGAGCCATTATTCCATCCTAAAAGGAGCGGCTCTCCTGGGAATTGGCACGGACAATGTTCACCTGGTGCGGACAGACGAGAGGTGGGTGCTGGGAGGTCCCAGGGGACCCCACGTCAGGGGGTTCCTCCATGTATCCATCCCTGTCCCTTCCCCTCAGGGGGAAGATGATCCCAGAAGAGCTGGAGAAGGAGATCCAGAGGGTGAAAGCCGAGGTCAGGAGAGGCTGCACACCCCATGTTCCCAAAGCCCCTCAAAGTCCCCAGTGCTTTCCCAGTATCCCCAACGGCCTTCCCAGTGTTCCCAAAGCTCCCTCAAAGTCCGTTTGTCCCCCTCTAAGTCCCCAAAGCCTCTCCAATGTTCCCAAAGCCCTTCCCATGTCCACAAACCAACTCCCATGTCCACCAATGTCCCCCCAGTGTCCTCCCAAATAACCTGAATCTCCTCCAATGCCCCCCCCACCACTGTCCCTTCAACTCTTCAATGCACCCAATGTCCCCTGTCCTCCCCAGGCCTCCTGTCCCCCCTTAAAGTCAGTCCCCTGTCTGCCCCAAAGTCCTCTGTACCCCATTTCCTGCACCCCCAATGTCCCCCTGTATCCTCCAGCC